CTATATTATTTATTGAAAAGGTTATGATGAAAGAGCTTTAGATTCTACACTTTTTAATGATACGACACCATCAATGAAACTGGAAGCAACTCATAATAATAATAATAATAATAATAATAATAATAATAATAATAATAATAGTAATAATAATAGTAATAATAATAATTCCGGGACTACTATTGGTTATTTTATTCATCAAGTAGGTGGATATGATCGTAATGGCCCTGCTATTCATCATCATCATCAACAACAGCAGCAACATCATCATCATTCAACTTCTTCACCTCCAAATTTCAATTCGCCGACTTCTGCTCCACCAACACCACAGGATTATAACCCAATTACGATGGCAGCCGCAGCCGCAGTAACGGCTTCTGTGAATAATTCGACTACAACAGCCAATGCACCTACTAATACGGTAACTGCAGTAACTGCTGCAATTACAAACAGGTTCGCGACCAATGGCACGACGACTGTTAGCGATCCTATTACAAATGACGATAACACCATATCAACATCAATAAATAATTACGGCAGTAGTGGTGGTCATCTCCATCTCCACCCTCATCCTCCTCCTCTTTCTCATCCTCATCACCTCTCAAACAATCATCCCCATCATCATCACCACCATCAAATTGGCTCAAATGTAGCAGCAGTAGCGGCTTTTCAACAACATATTCAACAACAACAACAACAACATCATCAACATCATCATCACCACCACCATCAACAACAACAACATCATCGATCTTCTTCTACTTCACCACACCCAGTTCCACCCCCACAAACTATGATGACAACTTTTAGTTCGAAAACAATTTCAACTACTCCTAAACGATATAAATGTGAGATTTGTCAAAAACGGTTTACAAGGCCAAGTTCACTACAAACTCATATGTATAGTCATACCGGCGAAAAACGTAAGTCTTTTTATGATTAGACATCAAATGATTACACGCATAATTTATATATGAGATCAATTAATAAAAAAAATTTTTTTTTTGAACTTTTTTATAGCTTTCAAATGTCCAATTGAAGGATGTGGTCGACATTTCTCGGTAGTTAGTAATTTACGTCGTCACCAAAAAATTCATGGAAATCAAAATAATAACAGCAACAATAATAATAACAACAACACTGCTGCTACAGTAAATAATAACTCTTAATTTTAATTTTGTAAAAAAAACTCTAAAAATTTTTTCATTTATCAATTAACTATATTTAGTATATATATATATATATATATATATATATATATATATATATAAATATAAATTAAGTTCCTTTCTTAAAATTTTTATGATGTGATAGTTAATAATAATAATAATAATAATAATAATAATAATAATAATAATAATAATAACAA